AACACAACGTGGTGCGATCATCCCCCTTGCGCGGAGTGAGGGTTCTCGACCCCGCACAACATGATCTACTCGACCACCAATATGGTTACCGCCAAAAAAAAATGCCGGAGGTAAAATAAAATAAAAAATAACCTGGTTGCCGAGTTCACGAAGTGAATTGGTTTGTTTTACAACGTCTTTGCCAAGCGACGAAAACCCAATCCCGATGGCAAACACCGGGGGGGGCGGCTTGTTTAACAACGTCGTTGCCAATCGACGAAAACCAACCCCGATGGCAAACACCACCGAGGGGGGGGGGTTACCGCCAAAAGAAAAATAGAGGTAAAAAAAAACGGTATCAACCTGGTTGCCGAGCTCACGAAGTGAATTGGCTTGTTTTACAACGTCGTTGCCAAGCCACGAAAACCCAATCCCGATGGCAAACACCGAGGGGTGGGGGGGACGAAAAAATGAACCGAAAAACATCTTTTTAATGGCATCTCTTCAAAAACGAAATGCACTGTAGATCGAAAAGTTGTAATGTGCCTAGTCCAAAGCCTCTAGAACAAGTACATGTTTTTGCACTATGAGAACACCTGGTAACCAGCGACATTCGCGTTCAATCGGATTGTTGAGAATTGGGCATACACACTGTAAACACGCGGAGAATGAAATCTGGCATTTTGGCCAAACTTCGGGCTACTGCATGCAACAACATACACTTACGCGAACACCTTCTAGAATCATTTCTGGTTGTCTGCTGCTGCTGTCAAGTCATGCGACGCCACTCACACACACTATCGGTAGGCTCTGGAAGTTTCGAGCAGTGTAGTGGCGTGCTGTAGCTGTCTGCAACTGAAGCACACTTTTGCCGAGATTGTTAACAAAAAACCGCGGCATGAAGAGTGTGCTCAAATTGGAATTTTTCAAGCACCTCGATCTCGCGCTACAAGGCCTAAAACTGATAAGCGGCACGATGCTGATCGACAGGGTTGCTAAGGTGGTATGATTTCTCCAAAATTATGGTAAAGGTTTGCGTCTCCAGGGCTAAGTGCCAGCGGGGGACAATGGAGATTTTACAGCAGTCGGCGGGGGCACTGCCCGGGATTTTTATCTCGCAGTTAGACCTGTGAAAAAAAAAAGAGGGTTGGGGAAAAAGAAAAGTAGCGGAGCTCCGGGGACACAAGGCACGGCGAGGAGCCTTGCGTAACCTCAAAGGCAGGACACCGCTTATTTGTCTAGATCAACCTTGCCGCGGCTCAGGTACGGTTAAGGTTTCAACGCGGTGCTATTGCTCTTTCCTGTAGGACTTCCTACTGTAACAGATGACCTTTCCCGCGGGCGTGCAAAGTGTGTTGTGAAACACGGTCTACAGGTACGCTGCTCTTCACTCGATTCTTTTCTCTCGCACTTATGTAATGAGCCACGGAGCGCGAAGCGCGACCGTTCTTTTCCCTCCGTTCGAAGAGGAAAAAACAGGCTGTGTTTACCAGGGGCCCAAGTTTTAAAAAGCGACCGTCCATCCTTTTCGACCAGCACGAGGTCTGTGGAGCACCGATTGGCGATCTGCTGGCTTGGGGAGGAACAAGAAAAATAGGGCCCTTTTCACCACACCGGTTTCGTCGTGCTCCGACGGCAGATGGCCGAGCTTCACCGGCATCTGTACCCAAAAACCATAGGAGATACTCACCCCGACCCCCGCGGAGTTGTAGAGGAAATGCAAGCCAAGGCATCGTAGATCTCCCACCCACACACACGAAGTCACGCGGTTGGAACAGAGGGAACACTTAGCCAAACACGCAACACCGCTGGCAGGGGCAAGACATCACTGGCGGGGGAAGGGACCCATACACACAGCTCGTGGCGGATGCCATTGTCATGGCTGCTGATTCGGTGTGTGGGGAGGGGTCACCTGGAAACAAACCAGTGCCTGCCACGGGAAAAATGCCTTTGTTATTGGGGTGTTTTTTTTTCTCGTTTATGCATGAATTTTGCCGACTCCCGCCACCTCAGCTTCCGTGGGTCCTATTGCCCCGCGTCCTCTATTCGCCGCCACGCAAGACGTTGCATACACACAGTTCGCGGGGAACAGCTTTACAAATTGCTGCGCGTCACTCTGTGCAGAGAAACCACCGAAACCCCAACTCGGTGGGGGGACGTGCATGTGTGACGTCTACCGTAGGTGACGCAAGATAACATACCCACTGTGCCGATTTTGAAAGCTCGAGCACTCTACGTCGAAGAGGATGCGTACACCCAGCAAGACGTTGTCGAAAAGCCCTCGACGAGACGGCTCCCATATCATTATTATCGGCACCGCCACTCTATGTGGTGTGGAGCAACCGAGCTTCACCGGCGTTGCAACTCATGGAAAATGAAAAAAATATGCTCACGAAATATACTGGGTACCTCCACAATTTTCTGGAACCCCTCTGAATTTTTGCTACTCAGCCCACCCCAGGTCACCCTGTTAGCCACCACTGTACTACTGGCATAGACCGCGGATCTTCATGAAACTGGCAGACCAGTCCAACATAGTACCAACCTACGTCCGCAAGCAGTCTTCACGCGTGATTTTGCCTTCAGCTCGAGATTTGCTTCAACATGCCGATCGGTTGCTGTTGCGAACCTCCTGTTTTCCAGCTCTCTTGGTGGCAAACTTCCGCAAGCCGTCGCGGTCCGAATGGGCCTACGTCCTTCGTGACTTCACCCCACGGCAGAAAGATAGCCACAGAACTCAATGCAACAATCTAGAATTTTGCATCAGCATCTTTTCGCCCTCCATGGGTCTGCAAACGTCACCTAGAATCGACACCTGACTGCCTCTAAACACGAGTAGTTGGCAGCGGCGCAGTTAGCGCGTGGAAATCAAAACGGCCACGTCTCCATTTTTATGTCGTCACGAAGTCTCTGGCCAGACTTTGAAACGCTGTCGCGGTCCAGAAAGTACGTGAAAATCACTGGCGTTCGGGGCCACTGTAGTTCGGGCACCACAGATTGCGATATCGTGATCTAGAATTTTGGATCGGCACTACAGCTAGAGCTGTTCCACAATAATCTCAAACCCCATACAACAAAGAGTATAGGGGGCACCGTGCTATCGTGCCTGTTGCCAGGAATGAAAAAAAGACCAATAACCAGAAACGGGTATACCCGGGTATTTTATCACCACTTTAGGGTACAGTTAGAAATCAACACGCTTGCACCCCCAGGCTGCCAGCTGATTGGCCGAAAAACCATTGTACCCATTTCTGAAGAAACCTCCATCAGGTACAACTTCCGCTGGAATAAGGACCCTGTGGTGTGACCGATATTGGTTACTGGTGTACCCCGAAGAGGTCAATTTTGTACCCAGAAATTGTCGTATCAGCCCGGCGCCAGACGCTCTAGCTCAAAACCCGCAGAAAAAACCGTGTACCGCACATACCGTGTACCACACATGCATAACCACAACCAAACCACCAACAACGTTCGCTCGTTCATCGTTCATGGGCACCGCCTCCATAGGATACCGGCCCTTCTCAACAGAGGATCGGACTCGCTTGACGCGCGAGTACTTCGGTGTGGTACTGATCAGTAGAAGCACAGAGAGAGAGAGCCACAGAGAGAGAGAAAAACGGGCACGACCTGCCTCGTGCATCATGCTTCCGAGGCACAGGACACACAGGACACAGACAGCGGTTTGTTGGTTTCGCCGCGATCTACGGCGGATGCTGTCGGAGATTGGTGTCGTCTTGATCTCCAACTGTACGCTGAAATGGTGATAATCTATCCGGGTATACGCGTTTCTGGTTATTGGTAAAAAAAAAAAGGCCCTTCTTTCCACGGGCTGCAACGCAGGTGGCTTCGAAATTGGCCCAGGGGGTGTGGTATCTTGTGTCACCTACGACGTACCACTTCATGCACACGCGAACGGCCGGTACGTTCCAGGAGCCTTGTTGTTCTTGTTGATGATCGACTGCCACCTGCCACCGCACAAAAGCGCAGACAGACTAGACTACTGCAAGGTATTATTTAGTCGGCTGCCCCGCGGCCCAGCACCCCGCCCGATCAAGTACATACAGTCGTCCCCGCTTTAAAGACACCATTTTAAAAGACACTCCCCGCTTTAAGGACACAAAAAATCTCAGGAACATGGTGCCCCGCAGATGTGAAAAAGTAGGGGGGGTAGGTTTTTCCACCATTCGACCCCCCCCAGAAAATGTGCTGCAGCACCTGTAGATCCTGGATCATCAACAGCGGTCTGCTGCAGCTGCACACTGCGTGTGGGTGTATGGAATTATTCATTCCATCTGCTAGCGGTGAAGAGGTCTTGAGGGATGAGGTAGAACTCGAGAAGGAAGAGGTAACGGAGAACATGTCAAACGTACACGTCGAGGAGGACGTGTCCAGTGAAGAGGAAGGCGATCACGGTAGGCCAATCGTGCATAAATCTACGATTTCAGAGGGCGAGGTTCGCTCTCGTCTCGAAGATGTCAGCTCTTACTTGACACACATGGAAGAGACGGCGAGTACAGCGAAACGGCGTACCTTCTTTCGAAGACTGTGCATTCGTTTACTCATGAATCTCAGGTCAAGCGAAGAGCAAAGGAGGGGGGGGAGGTGCAGGCGACTCTTCGGGATATGTGGCGGGTGTAGTTTTTGGTTTCGAGAGCACAGCACTTTTATTGCCAACGTTCCTTGTTTGCCTTGGGTGGAGTCTCGTGAGGTTGAATTTGGCGTTTGTGTTGTGTTGTGCCTCGTTTTGACCTTTTGGGAGGCGCGGTGTCCTCTTTGTCGCTGTGCTTTCCCGACATTTTTGGTCTCTGTGTTTCTGCGTAACCTACATTTTCCTAGTGTCGTTTTACAACCTTCGATATTTCTCAGGTGCGGTAGCGAGATCTTGGGCAAGATATTCACGGGGAGGACAACGCCTAAAAAATAAAATAAAGCAAATAATTAAGCCCATATCAACACCAGCGCACTACCGTCGTGTACATGTACGATGCGTAGGTCGTAGAACACCATCGCTTTCAGCGTTTTGGTGGTACAGTACGGGGAAATTCAAACGATGGTATGCAAGTATGCATATGTACTGCAGCACAATAGCAGCAGTGGTTGCGACCTGCAAATCACCTTGGTCGTAGGTTTCAAACAACACCTCTTGTGGTCGCCTTTCTGCTGCGAATGCGCACCTTTTGACATATGTTTCGCCTTCATTGGCCCCGGGGATGGTGCGTTAGTGGCCCCGGAATTTCAAAGACACTTTTTTTGGGGGAAAACGTGGTGTGTCTTTAAAGCGGGGTCGACTATATTGGAACAGGAGAGGACGGCTCTCAAAATCTAGGCCTGTCCTCCATCGGCCGTTTTATTTTCGATTTAGATACACAAACTTTATTTCTTTACTAATTTCAAGTAATTCCACCTTCTTATTCTCCGTCATACAAGCAAAACGGCCGATGGAGGACAGGCCTATCAAAATCTCGAAAGTCATCTCTGGTGGTTGCAGGCTGCAGAACACGATGAAGTCAGTCACCCAATGTTCAACGTTCTCAAGTGGATTCATAGCATGTGCTTGACATGAGATACATCCTGCTGTACCTAAGTCTTGTGTACTATCGGTGTACACGACTAGCACACACCTTGATGATTTTTCGACCCCAAACCAATTCTGTACACTTCTTGTACTGCTGTACACCAAGGACGATCCATGCAGGTTTACTGAAGCGGCCTACTGCTTGCTACATCAGATCTGAAGAGAGTTCCGGCGTGCAGGCCAGACCAGGGGTTCGTCCCAGCAGAGGGAAGGGCTCCTTCTACTGCTGTAGACTATCGTGCCTGTCTTTCAAAATTCAAATCAATACCTGAACGCGGACGGCTGCCCGAGTTCGCCTACGAAGCGTGCAACGGGGTTCGGACAACGACAGCGCTAGATGTTCACCATCCCTCCCAGGGCCAGGCGTCCTTTGTGTCATGAAGCGTTGGTAGGCTGAGCGGGGAAAGCGAGTCCAAAGGGAGTGGTGTTCTCAGTTAGAATCAATACTGGGCCCTCACCCCCATTGGCTCTGCCTTTGTCAGGCCCGGCCAATCAGGATACTCAGAGGGTTCCGGGGGGATTTTGATCCTTATTATTCCGATTGTCGGAGCTCAAGTCTAATTCCGAGATAGAGACTGTTGTTTGCTCACCTGGGTACGGAAATCCCGCCGCACGTAAAATGCGGCGAGATTACAGACGGCAGCCGTTGCAGTGGAGGGTCCAGCGTTCAACCCTTACTACTACGCCGCCACACGTGGCTTCCTCTGTCTCTCAGCCTCGATGCACAACTCAGGGCATGATGCGAGCCTCGCAGCTGGGCCCAGGCGCAGGCGAGGAAAGAGATTAATCGCTTGCGAAAGGCATTGCTGCGTACGAGATGACTTCCACGCTCGGCAGCTGCCGCTCGTGATCTCCCGGTCGGCCTTCCCGTCCGCGGAGATGGTACGTCCGAGGTACACAA